TTTTTTTTTCCAATTGAAAGAAGCCGCGGTCGCGTTAACTTAGCGTGCGATTAAATCGCCGCCTGCTACTAATCCTCTCGTTTGCACCAGGAAAAGTTATCTCGACTTTGTCGCGACACGTGACACACGCCATGCAATATTACGTGATTCTGCGCCCGGTTATAATCTGCGTCCTGTCTCTTGCTGAATTCATGCTTCTCGACGACGACGACGACGACGTCCGACATAAGGTATCCTCTCGAAGCTCATTCGAATCGCCGATTCGTAGAATCGTCTTCTACTACGACATTCGTCTCGACGCTTCTTCGTTCCTTCCCTGGGACGATGGTGCGATCCAATTTTGTCGGTGACAGCGTACAACGTTTTTGAACATGGCACCAGAATTCTTCCTCTCTTCGATCTTAGTCCTTCGGAAACGATCGTCCGTCTGTAAGGACAGAAAAATTAAGAAATCTCGCGATCCTCACGTATTCTCTCTCTAACGTGAATTTTATTTCCTTCGTCAAATTTTTCGAATATATCGATTTTAATATTTTCACTGAAGACATTTTTCTTGTATATTTAATAATCGTTTTTGATATGATTTATAATTTTATAATTTTTATTATCAATTGTTATAAAATATTCTTATGATTTTTTTCTTGGGTTAAATTTATCTTTTTACACTGCGGAAATTAGGTCACGATTTATCGGAAAAGATATGACATGTCACTCGATGATATTGATTAGTAACGTTTTTCTTCCTTTCTTTCAAGGTGATAAGTACTATGTTACTTTATCACGCTCGATCGTACAGAAACGACGAACCGTTGAAAGTGTCGCACGATATTACTGCGCTAAATGACAGCGTCGCAATATCCGATGATGATAATCCGCGATCTGCCACTCAGCTACTCTCCCACTATGTATCGTTGCGTGACTAATCGTGCCTACATTCTTGCGTTATCAAAATGCTCTCGCTCGATATGACGTGGTTCTGTTTATCGTACAAACATGTCAACTGCCGTTACTGTAAACTTTTCGTGTTGGCGTTCCGCGAACGCGCTTGTCGGTTATTCACGATCGTTTCGTAACGTAACGAGAGGGAGTAGTCTTATTTGCTGATTCTTTAACTCCAAACTTGACAAGTTAAAGAAGCGAATTTAAATTTATGTTCAAAGAAGAATAACACAAGTGAGACGAAAGATTTTAAAATTTACATTATTTTTTGAGATGCATTAAAATAAATTAGATGATAATTCTGATAAAATAAATTGAAAAAAAAAAATATAATTTATAAATCTTAAAAATTTAAAAACATATTTTAACACTTGTTCTTAAATAAGAAATTATAAGTCAGTATATAGTGAGAGAGAGTCGAAGACTTTCTGTATTTTAAACTACTTTATCAAGTTCAGAGTTTATCGTCAAATATTAATGTTTGCTTAATTTAATCTTTGCATTGCAATGATAACAGATATAATATTATTTCATCTCGTAGTCTTGAATACAAAGCGACATTTCCATCAGCAAATACTATTTATAACTTAGGAAACTGCTGTCGTATAGATGGCCAATGAAATGTATCTTTGATATCTTCGTTTTTCGTTGAGGTAAAGTTTGGTCTATTCGGATAGTAACAAAAAAGTGAAATGGCACATGATAGAAGCGGGGCAGGATCGATAGACGTGAAAAGAGCGTC